GGCCACAGACCCCTGCCCGGGCCACTGACCCCTGCCCGGGCCACAGGCCCCTGCCCGGGCTGAGGGAACAAGAGACACCTCGCCATCTTGCTTGAGGCTTAGGGAGAGGGTTCGTGACACGCGTCCAGGGTGACTCGGTCATAGTCCTGCCCGGTGGGTTATTGACCATGGAGGTGCCACACCCCTGAGTCTCCCCCTATCCCCCCGCCTGCCTGGCCCACTGCCCCCCACCACCACCAGCCCAGCTGCCGACTCACGTATTCGTCTGGGTTGGGGTCCTGGGACTGGGGGGTGTCGGGGACAGCAGTGTCGCAGTCGGGGCTGTAGTGCTCGCAGTAATCGTACGCCGCCCGGTGGTCTGAGACGAAGAGCAGTTGCTGGATGTCACCCTGGAAACGGACAAGAGCCCTGAACAAGTGGTTCAGGGGCCCCAGAGGGGACCCAGGAGACCAGCCCGTCCTCAGCCAGCCTTCCTCTCGGAGCTGCTGCCTCCAAACCACCCAACCAGGCTGTCGCCCATCCATCCATCCATTATCCACCCATCCATCATCCATCCACCATCCATCATCCATCCACCATCCGTCATCCATCCACCATCCATCATCCATCCACCATCCCATCATCCATCCATCATCCATCCACCATCCACCACCCATCATCCATTCATCATCCATCAACCATCCATCATCCATTCACCATCCGTCATCCATCCACCATCTGTCATCCATCCACCATCTGTCATCCATTCACCATCCATCATCCATCCACCATCCATCATCCATCCACCATCCATCATCCATCCACCATCCATCATCCATCCACCATCCATCATCCATCCACCATCCATCATCCATCCACCATCCATCATCCATCCACCATCCATCATCCATCCACCATCCATCATCCATCCACCATCCATCATCCATCCACCATCCATCATCCATCCACCATCCATCATCCATCCACCATCCATCATCCATCCACCATCCATCATCCATCTACCATCTGTCATTCACCCTCCATCCATCATCCACCATCCACCCACCATCCACCCACCATCCGTCATCCATCCATCATCCACCCACCATCCACCATCCACCATCCATCCATATATCCCTCCCTCCCTCCATCCACCATCCACCCATCCAGTAGCAATTCCTGAGCATCTCCCAAATGCTAGCCGCTGCATCACACACAGGGGCACAGCCATGCCCAGAGCTGCACTGCCTGGCGGCACCCACTCCCCCTAACACCTTGGCCTTTCCTCGTGCCCCATGGACGAGGTCAGACGCAACCCAGACCGCGCATCCAGCAGGCTTTTCCTGAGGCCCCTCAAGCCCGGCCACCCCTCTCTGGCCGGAGGCTGGGGCGGTTCCAGCGCCTGTGCCCCTTCCCCCGTTCCGCTGGGTCCAGCCATAGGCACGTTCCACCCTGAAGGGCAGAGCTGGGAGGGCAATGCCACAGGCTCGACCTGAGGAGTGATGCCACCCTGCCCATCAGAACCACAGGCCCAGCCAGGCGCCAACCCTGCTGCCTCTCATGTGGCGAAGGTGTGTGAGCCCTCCTCTGTGCCAGGAAGGCAGAGAGAGACGCAGGAGGACTAGGCGTGGCCCCTGGACGGCCCCGGGGGGTGTGGAGCAGGGCACCCGGTGTGCACAGCTCTGCAGCGGGATCTGCACCCTCCCGGCTGCCCAACTGGCCCAGAGACGGGGTGAAGTGGTGACTCAATGGCAGAATGGGGTGACGGTCCTGGAGTCCAGACTAGGCCCATGAGCACCTGATCCCGGAGGCGCGTGGCCCAGGGCGGGTTCCAAACCCCCAATGAGGAGCCGGAGCTCGGAACTCCGCAGGCAGAGCCGGCTCTCCAGGCCCAACGCCTCCCTCCCACTCAGCCGCGCGGCCCTGCCT